TTCTTCTTCTTCTTCTTCTTCTTCTTCTTCTTCTTCTTCTTCTTCTTCTTCTTCTTCTTCTTCTTCTTCTTCTTCTTCTTCTTCTTCCTTCTTCTTCTCTCTCCCTTCTCTCCCCTTCCTCTCTCTCTTTCAGTCTCTTTCTCTCTCTCCCTCCCTCCCCATCTCTCTCTTACCCAATCAATTACCTCAACTACCATGCTGTCTTATCTTTTATTTTTCATGGTCAGTATCTCTTTCCACACCATTCTCATATTTCACCATTTGTTATCTATCTGTCCTCATCTTTACTTCTCTACATCTTTGCTTTCTCGAAATGAGGGTCAAACTCCTGAGTGCAATAACTGAACTTTATCCTGCTGCCCTACTGTTCCCAACTCTCACTGAAATGAAGTGAGGGAAGAGGCCATTGCATGGGGTCACTGAAGTCACTGATGCAATTTAAGATGAAACTCAAGTCACTGATGAAACTCAAGATGAAATTCAAGACCAAAGAAATTTTTGCTTGGGAATTACTTCATCTAAATGATAAAAACCCCTGCACATTGGAGTTTTCTATAGGTGCATTTAGGATATATTCTCACTGCTCATGTCTCCCCAATGTTTTCATGAAGATGGAGTAGGACAGTTGGGTTAAAGTAAGTGGGCTATAACTAAAGTGCCCAGGAAACCATGGCAAACAATCCTTTATCTTGTAGAGAGCATGGGAAATGCCCACCAGTATCTTGAATAGGGGAAATGGGTCAACTTACCCATAGAGAAGGGCATAAAAGCTACATTTTTCCTCAGTGCCCCATTTGCATCCAGAAAGTGATCCGGGTTAAAAGTATCTGGTTTTTCAAAATGACGTGGGTCATGAAGAGCAGTTGACAGGATTGGGTATATTTCTGTGTTCTGAGGAAACATTACAAGATCAAAAGGGATTGCCATTGCTGACCTCCAATGGAAAGACATAAATAAATAACAAAAGAAATTAAAACAGACATAAGGTTTCCATGCTGAGAAAAACCAAGTGGTCTAGATGTGGGTTAAGAAACCAAAGAGGCTCACAGAAAGATGGGGAATCCCAGTTTGTCTCACCTTGGGCAGGATGAACCCTCGGAAGACAGTATCTTTTGTGACCACGTGGGGCACACCAATGGGAACAAGGTCTGCAAATCTCTGCATCTCACAGATGACTGCTTCAGTGTAAGGCATTTTAGTTCGGTCCTCCAAGGCTGGCTGGCGGTGTGAACCAATCACCTGTTCAATTTCCTTTTGGACTCTCTCTACACACAAAAGGGGACAGTGAAGCCCACCTTACAAAGGCATCTCAGCAATGACATTTTTGTCTTTGGAACAGTGAGGTAGAAAAACCCTGTAGAAAGGTTATATCATTCATACATTCAAAGCAATCATCTGTGAGTGAGATAAAGAGGGAGAAATTAACAAGAATTCACACCCTTTAAAATCTAATGAATTTTACAAATAATCTCGCCACATACACAGCTATAGATACACACACACACGCATCACTATTTTGCATGAGATTTTATGTGAAGAACTCCAATACTCTTCCTTTAAAATGAATAAGAGGGGCTGAGGAGATGGCTCAGTAGAATAAGTGCTTGCCTGGCAAGCGCAAGGGCCTGAGTTCAATCTCTGGTTCCGAAAAAAAAAATAAATTAACTAATGTTTCTTATGCATGTGAATGTGTCATTGCTAGGTTCTAAACCATATAAAAGCAGAAGAAATCAATAAACTAATGCATGCACTATTGGACAATAAAATGAATCCATCCATCCATCCATCAATCAATAGCAAAATGCATAAATGAAACAATTGATGATGAGTTAATCTATTAATAAATGGTTCATAGACAAATAAATCAATAAAATCAACTAATATTTAATCATATAACTTCTAGATATATGAATTAATATATAACGAATGAGTGAACATATGAGTAAATAAAGAAATAAATGGAAAGCTTTAAAGAAAAGAAAATCTATTGTGAATAAATAATATATGAACTAAAAAAATGAAGGAATAATGGATGAATGAAGCATCAATTGAAAGACAGATAATTAAGGAATGAAATCTAGTTCAAAGTTAGAGTGATGGGTAGATGCACGATTAATTCAATGAGCCAATGTACCAGTGACAACTAACAGTATGAAACAGTTGGCTTGAGTCATTTAATCAAAATAAATGAATAAAATTATGTATTCTTTGATGAATCACAGAGAAAAAGTAAGTATGCAAGTGAATTGATAGACAGATAGATGAATGGATGAATGAATGATTCAATTTTTAAGTTTGCTACGAGAAAACAGTGCACTCTTGGACCAATAGATTTTTCATTTCACTGTATATCCCTGGGACTGGCTTAGCTGGGAGCTTGTAAAAGATAGAGGGATGGGTAGATGCATGAATAATTCAATGAGCCAATGTATCAGTGACAACTAACAGTGTCAAAAGATCAGCTTGAGTCAGTTAATCCAAATAGATTAATAATAAGATATGTTCTTTGATGAACCATAGATAAAAAGTAAGTATACAAGTGAATAAATAAGTAGGTGGATGGAGGGATTGATGGTTCAATTTTTAAGTTTGATAGCAGAAAACAGTGGAGTCTCAGGCCAATAGATTTTTCATTCCCCTGTACATTTTGTGGAATGGCTTATCTGGGAGCTTGTGAAAAGGCTATAGAAATCTTGGCATAAGCTCTCCGTGTAACCTGCCATCCATAGGGTCCCGTAACCCCACCTCTGCAGCCCAGAGGGCATCACAAGACCTATGTAACTGGCTGTCCTTTGCACACCTGTGATATGGGGGTACTTGAGCAAAAACAGGAAGCCATAGCGGAGAGTTGTGCTGGTGGTTTCTGTGCCAGCAAAGAAGAGTGAGAGCAAGGTCATGATGAGGTTCTTGTGGTGGAACTCAGTGTTCTGGTCCGTCTTGTCCTGGGTTCAGAGCAATCAAACAGGAGAGGGTCAGGAAGGACCAAAATCTTGGGCAACATAATTTGTCTGTCCCTCTGGGCAAAGTCTGTTTTTGGGACTCAGCAAATCTGACCTGCTTTGCATCTCTCCATCTTTGGCATCCAGTTCTCTCTCTCTCCCTCCCTCCCTCTCTCCTATTATTTTTTTCATCACACTGTTCCCATCTGTCTTCATGACTTTGGCTTGTTTGTCACTGGGTCTCCCTATTCTTTTTTTTTTTTCCCTCTGTGGCTTTTTCATTGTACTTCATTTTTTTTTGTCTTTTGCCCTGATTTTCTTCTTATTATTTCTTGATTCTTTTCTCTTTCCCTCTCACTTCATTTTCTCCTTCCTGTCTCTTGCTTTCACTTCAGCTTCTTTTTGCTTCTGCTTCTCCTGCCTTCCCTTTTCCTATTATCTCCTTCCCATCCTCTGTTAGTCTTTCCCCTCTTTTCCTGTTCAGGCTCATTTGTTTCCTTCAATCCACCCCCAGTCCTCCCCTCCTATCCCTTTCCCTTTGCCTGATCTCACTTTGTCCATGCGGAGCAGGAAGCTGTCAATGAAATCTCTAGGGGAGCTGGGGTCGAGGGTTTCACGGTGTTTCTCCACACTGTGTCCAATAAAGGTGTTGATTTCCTGCAAGTTTTTGTAGATTTCCCTGTGTGAACCAGGAAAGTGTTTCAGGATGTTGGAGAAGAGTTCAAATACCTTCAAGAAAGAAAGAGCAGTGAGGTCCACATAAGACTCAGCTAGCATATCAGAAGGAAGGAGCTGTCCTGGACCTCAAACCTCCATGGGGAATCTCTGTCCCTCCTGTCTTTACCCTGAATCTGCCTCTCTCTTTTACTTTCATAACCATACATACCTGTATGTACAAACACACACACACACACACACACACACACACCCCTACACACCACTTTTGTGTCCCAGAATCCATCTCTATTCTTTATTTTCTCTTTTTCAGTCTTCTCTCCTTTCTTCTCTTTTATATTTCCCAAGTATTCCTTTTCTTTGTCTCTTTCACTTTAATTCTCCATCCTCCTGATGCCATTTTGTTTTCTCAGCCCCTTGGTCCCTGCTTATCCTCCCTCCCTTCAGGTCTCAATATCCCCATCCCTTTGACTTCTCCTTGAACTAAGTGCATTTCTTGGATCCAAAAGCATGCCATTGTTACCCTTGGCTTGAGTGACCCCCCCTCATGCACATCCTCTGACATTCCCCCTGACCTGGCTGGAAAAGGAGCTGATGAGTGAAAAGGACTTATAGAACAGGTCCAGCATCCGAAGGAACTGGGGATCTTTGTAGTCAAAACGATTTCCAAAGACAATGGAACATATGATGTTGGCAGTAGCAGAATGAAAGAGGAATATGGGGTCCACCAGGCCTCCTGTGGGGGAATGACATCAGTTCATGATACACAGATTCAGGAGTCTGAGAAGCATTTGGCTGCTGCCATGTCTCTGTGTGACTGTTATGGCTGAGCAATAATACATAAGAAGAGCAATAAACTCTGATACTCATCAGCAAGTACTATGTGCCAGGCTGTATTGTAAGAAATTCCTGAGTTTTTTAATTTTATTCCTTTGGAACATTGTAAGGAAGATGCGGTTCTATTACTAAGCCCCATTTTATAGATAGATCAATGACTGATGCTTAAATGATTTGACCTAGGTAACCCCCAGCTGTGTATTTCTGGAATCAGGAATCAGACCAGGCATTGCAGAGATATACCCAGGGAAAGCGTTCCCTGTCCTGGATCCCATCCCTTGTAAGCTAAGAAAGTTTAGCCCTAGGGCAGAGGTGGTGCAGGAAAGCCAATCAGTGCATTGTGCAAGTTAAAAGCCATGCTCATTTCCTCACTTGATTGTCACTTCCCCCTCATCTCTTTTTTCACCTACACAACTTGAGTGAGGAGAATCATAGCTCTGAGCCCAAGGACATCAGGTAGGTATACTCTTCTCTCTGTCTCTGTCTCTATCTTTGTCTCTGTCTCCATCTACCTCTGTCTCTCAGCTTCTCTGTCCTTGTCTCTGTCTCTCTGTCTCTGTCTCTCTCTATCTCTGTGTCTTTGTCTCTGTCTGTCTCTGTCTCTCTTTCTGTGTCTCTATCTCTGTCTCTCTGTCTCTGTCTCTGTCTCTGTCTCTCTTTCTGTGTCTCTATCTCTGTCTCTCTCTGTCTCTGTCTCTCTGTCTGTCTCTCTGTCTGTCTCTCTCTCTCTCTCTCTCTCTCTCTCTCTCTCCTATGTTCATTCCTCTATAGACCTTTCACTGAGATTTGGCCATTTATTTCTAATCTTCTGTCTTGCTTTTGCTCTGCCTTTATTATTTTTCCTCTGACTCTTTTCTTCTTTTGTCACTTTCCTTTCCTTTTGCTCCCTCCATGGATGCTTCTTACTTGTTTCCATTTGTTTTTCTTCTTAGTTTTTATGTCCCAGCTGCTTCTCAACAGAATCAGCACCTCTACACTTGCTAAAGACCTGGGATGAATAAAGAAAAGATAACCACAGAGGTGCAAACACAGAGTCTGATCACCTCTATCTCTCTGCTACTGAGATCTAGAAGTACTTAAAATGCTCCTCAACAGCAGAACACCCATGAGTCTCTTTGCTCAATGCCTGCTCATCTGTGTTCCATCAATGGATGGAAAATATAGTCCACTATGTTCACATCGGCTGTCATTCCTATTCTTTTACATGCTTTCTTTTACATGAACTGGACTTGTATAAAAGCTTTTGATGAATACAATGAACTCATGTATTTATTTTCCTGGACAGAAATTAATAGCATGTAGTCACTTAGCCTATTTTTCAAAGTTATTCTTGTACACTAAACCTCACAGTTCCTTCCCTGGCTGTGCTTCTCTGTTGCTTATCTTTGTTCATGTCTCTTCCATCTCTTTCTGTTCCTATTACTGTCTGTCTGTATTCTACACTTCTCTGCCCATATGTATCTCTCTGTGTTTCTATTGTTGTGCACCCTGCCCCTCCCTCTGTATCCTTGTCTTCTTTTCCTACCCACCTCAACTCTCAAGACTCACCCTGGGATTTCCGCAGCTCCTCCACCATACACTGAGCCTCCTCCTGAATCCGCTCCTCCACGCTCCGCTTTCCCATCCCAAAGTCCCTCAGGGTGGCCAAAGAGAATCTCCGAAGGGCCTTCCAGCGTTCCCCATTGGCAAAGACCACCCCTAGTGGTTGTAGGAGAGGTATGGGTTACAGGGAAAATTCAAAGAAAAGGGATTCCTTCTCTCTTCTCTTCTCTCTTATCATACTCCACTTGCCCCAGTCCCATCCACCACATGCCCATCCCCATGTCTTTAAGGTCCTCACCATATCCCTGGAATACAGGCTCCACAACAGCAATTGTCCCTCGGCCTGAGAAAGCCTCAGCTTGGTCCACCAGGGCCTCCCGTATGGCCTCTGGGCCACACAGCATGACTATAGGCCTTGATCCCAGGTACACGGTGAACACATCTCCATACTTCTTTTGGAACTGACAAATATATCAACACCAAGGTGGTTATTAGTCAATGTATGCACCAGTTGTTAAACCACTGAAATACTTAAATGCACATTAGTATTTAGATGCTGCCTGTAGCATTCTCAGTATCTGCCAAGGGGTCTTGGTCCCTTACCAGGTCCCAATGTGTAAAGGACTAAGCTGTGACCCATCCAGGCTCTTTTTCCAGTGGTTTAGGCCCTAAGCAGTATGGATGTTTGTATATTCCTAATCCCATCTTCCCAAATCCTTGACCTGAGACTAATCTCCCTGGTATGTCAACTTAAAGAATCCTTGTGCCTAAGGGGAGAATAACTCTACTCACCCTCCTTGTATAGGATAATAGAACAAAAACCTCCTTGCACTGATTATGAAATTTGAGAAATCCTATTAGTGCAGTTCTGGGTGAATCTGGTAGACAGGAGATTAACCTTTTGTTGTCTATGTGGAGTGGATCTCAGGACTCAATTGGACACTAAAATCTTTAATAATGTTTGCATATAACCTATGTTTATCCTCCTGTATACATCAAATAAGCCCTAGATATGTGTGTGTGTGTGTGTGTGTGTGTGTGTGTGTGTGTGTGTGCAGGGTCTCACTACACAGCTCGGACTCATAGAGATCCTCTTGATTTCTGCCTCCCTAGTGCCAGGTTACAGGCATGTGCCACCATGTCTGAAATCCATTGCCGGATCAGCACACCCTGGGGCAGGGCCAGTGTGGCATGCAGTGCTAGGGATTGAACCCTGGCCCTGTGATTACATAAGCAAGCACTTAGTCTACTAAGCTACATCCCCAGCCTTTCTAGATTGTTTTTACTAATACAATGGAAATGCTATGTAGAAAGTGGTGCTGTATTATTTAGAGATTAGTGGCAAACAATAACTTGTACATGTTCAATACAAGCACAAGTTTTTCACTCCAAAGCTGACTGTATCTGGGGATGTAGAATCCACAGGAATAGAGGGACAGTGGTAGTTATTGAAGGTAAACATAGTCATATTCAACATCTTCTCTACCATATACTTCCTCAACAAAAAAGTGTACTTGTTCACCAAAAAAGTCAACCAAAATATACATATAAGCCTTTTTAGCAAAGTGATCATCAATATATGGAAAAAATAGTGAGACTCAAACAGTGGAATGTTGTCAACAATAAAATAGAGCCCATGAGAGCTATAACTGATAATCCAGATGAAGTTCACTAATACAATGTTAAGTGGAAACCACTAAACACAAAAGCAAGTTTAATTTTCATCTTCTTCTTTACATAAAATTCAAATAAAGATAAAACTGAGCCACAGGAAGGGTACTAAGAACCAGAAAATGTAGGATGGCAGAGAATAGAAGGGGATACATAAAGAATTAAACTATATTATACGTATGTACCAACCTCCATGATGAACATAATAACTGTGTACTGCAAACATGTAGCAATATAAATGACATGTTTTAAATTTCAACCCATGCTGTTGGAATAGCACCATGCTGTCACTTCATCTGTATTGCAATGACATTAGTGTGTCCACTGAACTGACCTGCGGGCCAATATCCAACTTCAGAAAACTTTGGCTTAAAAATCAGTGAAATTTACTATTACAGTGTCTTCAATTGTTCTCTGTGAAGCCTTCTCACTAGTTTCCTTGCTTCAGTTCCTATTCATAGAGCATAGGAGACTCCATTTTCTTTCTGTAACTCCATTTTATAACATCACTTAAAATCACTTAAACTCATTTAATCCTCAGATTCACTCCTGCACCTCCTACTATGTAGCTGACCGTAAAGTGAGAAAAAAATCAAGGCCATAAAATTATGAACAGAGGGCCAGAACAAATTGGGAAACAGGGTAAATATTAAGCACCAATGTCTACATGACTCACAGGTGGTCAACAGTGTTTTGGAAATGTAATCCTTGTGACAGTTACATGGCATTCTTTTAAAATTCCTGAGAATGAAATAATGAGGTTACCATGGAAACAAGAAAAAGTATATAACCTTGTCTTAAAATAAAAATGAGAATCAGCATTTGGTTTTCCTGACTCAGTGTGTGGTGTTGGTCAGCAGCTTTCCATAAATCTTATTTATTCTTATACATTCAGTCTCTTATGAGTGCATCTCTCTTGCTCAATTCTGCTACAGCACTACACCACTTAAAATGCTTTTACCACCCTCCAAGTCACAACAATTCTATGAAAATGTAAATTACTCAATATCTCAATACCTCTTCAAGACCTCCAGTGTGTCCATGAAATGGAGAAAAAGATCATACTCTGCACCATGGACCATATAGCCCCATGTGACCTGCCCCTCAACTTCTTGGGTTTTTCCCCTTCCTGCACACTTGACTCACTCTGATTCATCACCATGTTTCTCCCTAGACACTTTCCTGTACTTTAACAACACCTGTTCTTTCCAATGTAGAAACATGCATTTTTCAGAGTCTCTTTTCAGTAGACAAGCAAGACAAAGTCTTTGCTGATCCCTCAGCCTAAAATTGTTCTACTTTCTAAATCATCATTATTCTTTATATTATTAATAGCATTTGTCTATGTATCATCACTGTTTCTCTTTATTTCTTGTTTATCTGTGTCTCCTAGTGGACTGGCTATAAGCCTAGACACTGTATATGCCTTATCCAAAACACCACATTATCAGTTCTTAGAATCTTCCCCAGGACATAGAAAGTGTCCCGGAAATTATTATTGAATGAATGAATGAATGAATGAATTAGTGATCAAAATAGCACTTCCATGAAATGTCTCACTTAATCCTCAGAGCAACCCCAAGAGTCACATATTCTTATTGTCACCATGCTGCAGAGAAGAAACTATAAACCTCCAATTCCAAAAGGACTTGGGATTATTGGAGAAGAGAAAAAGAGCAATGTCACTCTCCCCAGAGCTTCCCATCAAGACACTAACGTGTTGGTCTCCCTGCAATTATGCAATCTAATCAAAAGCAGATTGTGGATTTCTAGTAGCTCCTAGTTAGACCTTTGAAAGAGCTCAAGGGGCCCTGTGTAGACTCAGAATTTCATGACTTTTAATTAAATTCTCAGAAATTATAGTGATTCCCAGACTATCAAGCAGTGTTATTGTAGGATTGTGGAGATGAAAGAGACCTGAAGACCTCCAGCTGCTCAACCCAGCTTCCTCTCCTGTCAGTGGGCCTGTGAGTTGGTAACTTGTGGTGCTGTGCCTCACCATCAACCATAGTCCATTTCATGCTGCCATAAGAAAATGCCTAAGAGTAGATAATTTATAAAGAACATGAACCTTCAGTATTGTTCTTAAAGGCTAGAGGTCCAAGGTCAAATAGGCCTGGATTTTTTCAAGGGTCATTTTTGCTGTGATGTCCTAGGCAGAAGGTAAAGAATGGGAAGCATGCACACAATATATGGGACCGAACTGCCCTCTACTGCAAATCCACTTGAGTGAGAATCACATTAATCAGCTCTCAAAAACTAATCACTATTCAAACATCCCACCTTTCAACACTGTTGCACTGGGAGTAAGTTTCCAAAAAAAGAATTTTAAGGGACACATCCAGGCCATCGTTTTCCACTCCTGACTCCCAAATTTCTTTGGGAGTCTTTCTCATGAGTGAAATACATTCACTCCATCACAATATGACCAAAAGTCTTTACACATTCCAGCATCAACACAAAAGTCAGGGGTCTCATTAATGAAACCACGATGTGATTTCTCTGGAGGCAAGTTTTCCTCCAGCTGTGAACTTAATACAATGTTGAGACAGGCATAGGAGTGACATTACCATTTCCTTTTCTTTCTTTCTTT